TCAACTCCATGATATCATTTTAGATGGGATTCGCACGCAAAACATTCTGAGTTGGATGGCCACTGGGGTGTGGATATATATATATATGTATGGGTGCGAGTGCGGTGAGATGTGCGGTCACAATTGATTATTTACCATGCTTTCCGACTTATTTCAAAATTTGGGGGCATTGCTTTTTCATTCCCAAGATGAAACGGTCTCACTCTCGCTCACACTCAGATATCCACCCAACTCATGATTGCTTGTCTGATGACTCCATCTAAAATGGTACTGTGTGGTAAGAAATGAAATTCCATATTGAATAAAGACAGTTTCACATCCAACATCGGCCTCAAAATGAATTCGGACTGAAAATAGTGTTTATGTATTATCTGTGCAATGGGGAGAGTGTGTATTTCTTGAATAAATCCCATTTTCTGCCCGATAGCCTTCTCCTCTTCCGAATTTATTCCCACCCAGTAGCGGGAGAAATTCTCTATCGAACACGACCTATTGCAGACCCACCCATGTAAAACAAAATCGTAAAATATATGATTATAATTGATTTTTAATCTGATTATTAATCCAATTTCTTTTTCATGAGCAACACAGATCAGAGAGGAAATCGAGACTGGAATTATTAGAATATTGCGTTCACTTAACGTACGTTGCTTTGATTTTTCAGCTGAAGCGGACGTCCAGTAATATATGTTTTACTTTTGATCGATGTTAAAGAGACCGTTGCTTTAAGATTAATAGGCTATTTGTGCTCAAATTTAGAGTGTTTCAAATATTTCTGCTAATATAATTGAACATGCGGGTTTTGTAATTCTAAATTTGTATCACTTACTTCGTAGGACAAGATCTCAATTAGCATCTTATTCTCTGTTTACGATGCATTCTGTTTTATTCACGAGATTCTGTTGGCATCTGTTTATTTTTAAATCTACAGAATGAATATGCCTATTGACGAACGCATGATGTATCCATCGAGTGAATGTTCTCTACATGATAAAATATAGGTTCTTGTAGTTCTTACGTCTCAAAGTAGCGAAAATAATATATCCTTCACCGGAGTTAGTGGAAAATGTCGAAAAAATTTGAAAGAGGAAAATGTCGAAAGAAAAAAATGAAAGAGGAAAATAGCGAAGAGGAAAATGTCGAAAAAAATAGAAAGAGAGAAATAGAAATGATTGTCATATTCTTTAGACGTATATTATGTGCTATGTTTTATTAGTGAAAAGTAAAATAATGATGATATGTAATAAGGCTGATACTATTCTTTTTTGTTTCCAATTAACAATGATAAACCCGTTAGTAATTGATTACAATTCATTTCTTTCGTCAGAAATTATTCTTGAAGATTATTGAATTTCATTTGAAAAGCTTTTGCTTTTTTTTTGACTGTTTTGGTATAGATGCTCCAGCATCAAATTGTATCGATATATGTTCAAAACGAACATGTTCACATTGAATTAATGGATTGCCTTTATTCGGGGTAACAAATGAAAACTCAACTTTCTCATTCTTTAATAAAGTATCTTCAAAGACTATAGGTGAATCCATGTTTAGGATATATTTTATTTACTATTAAGAACTTTTATTGATTCATTGGAAAATAAAGTGCACACCCTCAACGGATTACCAATGCAAACGAAATTACTTGAATTTTTCTATTGCCATCTTCTATACTAACGAGGGAAGGTCACCAAGTGTTCAATTGCTTTTAAGTCAGAACTATGTATGTCATGTAGACCCCAGTGAGGTATGATAAACTCCAAAAGGATAAGAGCGGATAGGCTTTCTGTCCAAAGTTATAGCCATTTTCTTGAAATTTTAGCCTCTGGCATAATATACATCAACAAATCGAATATCAGTATTTTGACCTGAAATTTTGCCCATCGACAGGTCTCTTTGTGAGTAGAACACTCTGAAATTTTCAGCTCAAAAGAATGTTTCGTTTCGGAAATATGAAAGTCTCAAAAATCAGAACATTTTAGTATCTGTCGTGAAATATGAGTGCTTTTTGGAACTTTAATATCTCGGAAACGAAACATTCTTTTGAGCTGAAAATTTCAGAGTGTTCTA